GACAAAGCGGGTCCGCCGAGGCAAGATGGTGGACTATAGTGTGTGGGACCACATCGAGGTGTCGGACGATGAGGACGAGACGCACCCCAACATCGACACGGCCAGCCTCTTCCGCTGGCGGCACCAGGTAGAGCGCGCGCGCGCCCATCCCCTTCCCCCTCCCGGGATGCCGCTCCAGAGTTCTGGCCACTCATACTGCCCAGGGACCCCCGCCGTTGACGCCCGTGGTCCCCATTCCACAGTCCCGACTTTCGGCCCCTCGGATCAGCTCCGGGACCCCAGTATCGCAGGGTCACCGAGTCCCCGCCAGCGATCTCCGGTTTCCTCGCTCCGATTTCTGCGCGCGACTCCCGATTGACCCCTAGGGCTTCCTTACCGTCTAGACTCCTAAGACGATCCTTGAGGGGGGAGGAGGGTCTCCCTAATCCTGTCTGGGCCTTTCCGTTTGCACCCAGGACTCTGCCTTAGAGTCTAGATCCCCAAGATGATCCCTAATCCCGTCTGGGTATCTACTTCTGATCTGGGATCTCCCATCAGTCCCTCTCCACCACTGAAGTCTAGACCTGACTTTGATTTTATTCTGGGATCTGATTCCCGGGGTCTGGACTGGGGGATTCTCGTCCAGAGAACCAGGAACTCTGCCCCCACCCTGCCATCCTGTTTCTGGGATCTTGATGCCGATCCAGGATCCTCTTTATAAAGGAAAAACCTCTGCCACGTCTATGGGCTTGGGTTTTGCAATTAATTTCCCTCAAGAGCCGACCACCAGCTCCCCCGCCCCCCCAAGCCTCCACTTGTCTCTCCTTTGGCTTTCCCTCCTGTAGACCCCCATTTCCCATTAACTGCGGGAAATCCTGCCCACGTGGCTTCCGGCCCAGCCAGAGCCCCTGTCCCCACTTGGTATTGCAGACTGGGATGGCGCTGACTCCTGAGACTGGCTTCCTGTATGACTCTCCACCTGCAGTGGAAGCTTTTATCCACCAAGTCCAGGACCCAAGGCCTACCCTGCCTTTCTTTTGTCGCCAGCTTCATTTGCTGTTTGGGGACATCCAAATGGGCCCTGGTGTCGCCCAGTAACCCTCCTGGTCTGATTCCAAATTCACTGCTCCTTCTTTTGAGTCTGCCCCAAATCCAGAACCTAGAAACCCAAATCTGGGTAATCCAAGTCCTCTCTCTTTTGAGTATTGCTTACAGACCAGCAGGGTGGCCCCAAGTCCACTCCTGTTCTGACTTCCTGCTCCCTCAAACCCAAATGCCTGCACCCACATACCTGGGCCATTATACTCGTAAACTGAGGGTGTAGACCTCAACCTGCTGTTTGGGAATTTCTCACCTCACCCTTCCATACCACAACTCCCAGTCATTTCTTTAGAAACTCTCGAAGGGCCTTTCTCCATCCTTCTGGGACATGGCATTACTCACTATTCCAAACCTGTTCCTCCAAGCTGCAACTTCTGGGTAGCATACCTCCTGGGCAAGCCACTGGAGTGTGGGCTGAACATCTTAGCGCTTCTATTTCTTCTGGTGTGTAACATTTTATTCTGAAATATTTAAGACCTCCGCAAAGCTCTGAATATTCTTGGGCAGACCTATTTCTGTCGCATAAAGAGGTTAATCTTTACTACTGTGTAGAAGGAGAGAAGGCTTTGGTCCTGCAGGGTGAGAGAGGCTGGTTGGCATCCCCAGTCTTGCAGATGTAATCATTGTACCACGCCCTCCTCTTCCTGGCACCAGTGTCAGTCACCAACAAGCTTGGGTTCTAATCCCGGCCCTGCCGCTTGCTGCCTTACTCAATGGTGGGGGCAGGACTGACTTCTCTGAGTCTTGGGGATAACAAGAGGAGACTTCTAAAAAGTTCATGGAAAAAATAGAACTATAGTACAAGATTATTTTGGTGCAAGACATTTTTGAAAATGCTACACTTTTTTTTTTCTTACAGAATTGTTTTTAATTTAACTTTATTTTATTATTATTATGATTTTTTTTTTACCTTGACCAGAAAAAGAGAGAGTAAGAAAGCAAACCGCCAGATTGAAGATTCGAACTGCAGTCAACCATGTGGGAGTCCAGCGTCTTTAACCACCGTGCCATATGCTGGTCCTGAAATTGCTGCAGTTTTTGTGTAACATGTAATTCTCATGGCTTTATAGCCACCTTTTTAAATTAAAAAATAAATTTCTAAATAATGATTTTATTTAACTTTATTTATTTATTTTTAAAATTTGACCAGAGAGGAACAGAGAGAGAGGGAGAGGAGGAGGAGGAGAGAGAGAGAGAGAGAGAGAGAAGGAAAGTGAGAATGCAAGCCACCAGGCCCGGGACTTGAACCCAGTGCCTTTACCACCACGCCACCTGCTAGCCTCAGTAATTCTCATGACTTAAAAAAAATTGATTAGAAACTGTGTGCACTTGCCAGAAAGAGAAGGAGGGGGAGAAAGCACCCCTCAGTGAACCACACCGTTCTCCATTTCCTCATCCTTCAGGATTCGGGGCACGCATAGACATATCCAGCCTCTATTTTTCTTTTTTCTTTTTTTTTCTTTTTTTTTTGCTTTTAAATAATTATTTTTATTAATTATTTGACCAGAGAGGGACAGAGTGAGAGAAAAAGAGAAAGCGAAAAAGAAAGCAAGCTGCCAGGTCTGGGACTCGAACCGCAGTCGGCCCTGTGGGAGTCCAGCTCCCTTTACCACCGAGCCTCCTGCCGGCTCCCCTAGCATGTCTTTCAAACCACCAGGGCCCTGGATTCAGACTGCACTGTGGGCTGTCGCTGTGTGGGATCTGGCTCACCCAGCAGGCCGCAGGGCCAGCCCTTCCGGAGCCTTCTTGAAGCCGCCTTACAGAAGTTGTGTTTCTATTAAAAGAGAACGAAATGAGACTAGGTCCGAAAAGAAGTTGTTACAAGACGTGGCAGGGAGCAAGCATTCTGGAGGCGGAGAGGGAATTCATACAGAGGTAGCCTGGTGGTGTGGTTTTGAGAACAGACTGACTGCCCAGGTTCAAATCTTGCCTCCTCTGTGTTTTTTCTTTCTCCTTTATTCACAGTAGAGTCCACGTGTGCACACATGAGAGTGAGAGAGGGAGACGAGGAAACACCCTCTATGGGGCCTGGCCATATCCTTACCCCAGTCCCCCAGTCCTCCAGCCCGTGGGACTCTAGGTACTTACACACATGCCCAGCCCGGCGGGAGATTCCAAATGGAGTCGCTCTGTGGGATCTGGCTGCCTGTACGCGGTATGTTTCAATGCATTACAGAGCCAGTCGGCTCCTTTTTAAAAAGAAAAAAAGAGTTATCTGTGGGGGCTGACTGGTGGCATGGTGGTTAAAGGTAGTTAAAGGTTCCCACGTGGCCAACAGCGGTTTGAGTCCTGGACCTGGCAGCTTGCTTTCTCTCTTTCTCTTCCTCTTGTCTCTGTCTGGTCAAATTAAAAATAATAACAATAAATGGAATTAAATAAATAAATAATTCTTTAAAAAAAAAAAAAAAGGAGTGAGAGAGAGCCCAGCCAATGGCGTGGGTAAGGCAGCTGGATCCCATATAGCTGACTACACTGTTTGAATCTTGGATCCTACAGCGTGAAAGACACCCCAGGGGGGAGTCCACAGGTGGCATTGTGGTTAAGGTGCCAGACTCCCACATGGTCGACCGTGGTTCAAGTCCTGGGGCTGGCATCTTGCTTTCTCACTTTCCCTTTCTCTCTCTCTCTGGTGAATTAAAATAATAGTAATAATAAGAGTAGTAGTAGTAGTAACAATAAATGAAATTAAATAATTTTTAGGAAGAGTAAGAAAAAAAATACTTATTGGGACCACTAGGTGGCGTGGTGGTTAAGGTGCTGGATTCCCACGAAGCCGACTGTGGTTCGCGCCCTGGACCTGGTGGCTTGCTTTCTCACTTTCCTTCTCTCTGTCCTTTTATTTATTTATTTATTTATTTATTTATTTATTTATTTGAGAGGTTTTTGCTATAGGGCGTATGCGCTTGC